AAAAAAAAAAAAAAAAATGGTTGTCCACAGCCAGGTAAACAGGCCCTCACCAGACACTGAATTTACCAGCCCTTGATCTTGGGCTTGCCAACCTCTATGATGTGAGAAATTATTTTTGTTGTTGTTTACAAGCTACCCAGTTTAAGGTATTTTGTTATAGCAGCTCAAGTGGACAGAGTGATGGTGGATTACATCACTAGCCAGAGTACCACAAGGCTGGCTATGTAATGAAGATGCCCTTCATTGCCGTGTTCGTGTGAAATTTTACTCCAAATCTCCATTCCCCTCTGTAACCTAAAAGAATCTCTATTTCTTTCAACCAAAAGTTAACACAATGGAAGCTTATTCCTTTATATAAAAATAAAACCTATTTGGTGGCACTCATAGCTTAGTCGGTAGGGTGCCAGTCACATACATTGAGACTGGCAGGTTCGAACTTGGCCCGGACCAGCTAAAACAACAATGACAACTGCAACAAAAAAATAGCCGGGCACTGTGGCAGGTGCCTGTAGTCCCAGCTACCTGGGACTGAAAGGTAGCTGAGTCAAGAAAATCGCTTAAGCCCAAGAATTTGAAGTTGCTGTGGGCTATGATGCCACCGCACTCTACCAAGGGCAACATAGTGAGACTCTATGTCAAATAAATAAATAAATAAACCTATTTAATTATATTCTCATGTGCTCCCTAAAAAGCAAATTTACTTTATTAGTTTTTAAACAAGGTATTACCAACATAGTTTATGAAGTACTTTTCTTCTAAAGACCTTATAGTAGGGCGGCACCTGTGGCTCAAGGACTAGGGTGCCAGCCCCATATGCCAGAGGTGGTGGGTTCAAACCCAACCCTGGCCAAAAAAAAGAAAAAAAAAAAGACCTTATAGTAAAAGAATATTCGGCAGGATGAAGGAGCATTCAGTTAAAGGGAAACTAGTCTCTTAGGTTGAACCATATTTTAACTCTTATTACTACTAATATTCCTCATAATTTAAAGATGAGACCACGGACTCCCATCATGAATAAAGAATGGGCGTTTTTCTTGTTGTCACAAAATTTTAGCAAAAGCTCAAAGCTGATGACAAGGGAAGACAAGTTCCCCTTACACTCTAGGTATGTCCTTGCAGGAAGTATTTTTTTTAAAAAAAAGCAAAAACTCCAAAACAGCCCTGAAGAGAATGATCAAGGTAGGGAGCTGTTAGCTGGGTCAGGAATGCTACTGAATTTCCCCGAGGTGCCTCAGGCCAAACATGAGGCTTCCCAAGAGATTAGGGTTGAGAATAGGACAAGAGAAGCATCCCTGTCCCAGCTGGATGCTGGCGTGGGGGTGGAAATGCACAGGCTGCTACCAGAGCATGGTGTGGAAGAGTTTGTGGAAGAACTTGACATATGTCCCCAGGAGAAGGGGCATGTACAAGACAAAGACAGAGACCAGTGCCTGCTTCTTGCTGCACAAATCCAGACAGGACACCAACTGAAGCTGCCCATGCAGCAGGGGTTAGAGAAAGGAGAGGTTACGCTGCCTGTGACCTAAGCAGAAATCCTAATAGATGACCCAGGAAGAGCTGTCCTGAAAGCTAAGTACAAGGGCAAGGGGCCCAGCAGGGTGCAGGGGTGTGAGGTGATTCCCCAAAGTCTTAAGGTCAAAGAATGGAGCCGTGTGGAGGTCTCCATGGGAGTCTTGAAGAAGCCACCACGGTGCCCCTCAGCACAGAGCGTGTACATGAGCATCTGCCACACAAAGGCCCCGGGGGGTTACCAGTCACTTGAGACTCGCTCTTCCACTCCAGTCTCTCTTTCTTCTCATTCTGACCCCAGAGAAGCCAGGCAAGCAGACAAAGGAGGAGGGGGAGGGGAAGAACAGGCCGCTCCTCCTTTCCCTCTGCTGGTCCCTGAGCTAGAGAAACAGGAAAGCTCTGAACTGCATAGAAGTTTTCATTTAGCTTGGACTGCATTTTTTAAGACCTAAATATGAAGTCATTCAAATCCCAAAAGCAAAAGAAAGCTACAGAACATCAAGAGGCCAGAACTGGGAATCCAACACAATTTGTTAAAGAAACTGGTGGGAAACTTTCAAGCTGTTTCACAATTGTCCCTACTATACTGGATCCATTTCCTAAAATACTTATACTTTTAACTGTTCAATCTTCAATATCACACAAACCTCACCTTTGAAAAAAGGCCTTCTGCCTCTATACTATAGCCTTTAAGGTCCTCATGTAATTTCTGCAAACACTGTATGACTCTTCTTTGATGTGCATCATCCTTTAGCTCGTGAGCTTTGATCAGAAAGTCATAGTGGTCCAGAGGTCCATGGCAAACAGCCACAGCTTTCAAGTAAGTCTCTGAAGCAGCAGTCGGAGTCACATTCTCAGGTGTCTGAACTGTATAGGCTATAAACAAAAACATATGAAATATTTTAGATTTTCTTAAGATATTCCACAGTGCACTACCTATGTTTAAAGGTCACGTTCAAACTTTTTTAAAATTTTGAGACAGAGTCTTGTTCTCACCCTGGGTAGAGTGCCATGGCATTATAGCTCACAGCAACCTCAAACCCTTGGGCTCAAGCGATCCTCTTGCATCAGCCTCCCAAGGAACTGAGGCTACAGGTACCCACCATTTTTTCTATTTTTAGTAGAGACGGAGCCTCGCTCTTGCTCAGGGTGGTCTCAAACTCCTGAGCTCAAGCAATCCACCCATCTCAGCCTCTCAGAGTGCTAGATTGCAGGTATGAGACACCACGCCCAGCCTACATTCAAACTTTTAACTCATTCATTATAAGTATTTCTATTTGGGCAGCTTTTATACATGTCATTTTGACAAAAAAAAAAAATTATAAAACACATTTTGTACAATAAATATATTTATAATAGTTTCATTTTAATAAAAGGACATAAACCCCCAAAGCATAAACTATAATTGTAACCTCTCTTCTAGAAGGCCTAACCAACTACAAAGTCTCTGCTTTGCCTCCAATCCACTAAACAAGTCACCTGGGTTCATCGGCTCCTTCCCAAAAGCAAGAGTGCTGTCTTTCTTCGAGTTAGCCCTAATTCTCGTTTTTTTTTTTTTTATAATAATGTAAGTTTATTGCATGCAGCCTTTTCCACACCAATTATCAGTTTTCCATGTGAAATGAGATTCAAAATAGTAGAGTTATTGTCAAGGTGACATAATGGACAATAGAAAAAGCTGAAGAGGGTTTTCCTGTCTGGGGAAAATAGAAGAGTCTGGGGGAAAAAAGATAAAACTACCACAGGTTGCTAAGATCACAAAAACAGCTTTGGGTACCAGAAGAAGTGACATTGAGTGTGGGGTAGAGATGGGCTGGGCAAATTGTCTGAGAAGGGAGGATAGGATCCCATGGATGTTTAAGGTATTTACTTGGCAATTATAATTTTAGAATTTCCTTCTGTGTTGTGATAGCTCTTGATTTTCTCTGCTGTCTATAATTTTATTATGTAACATAATAATTTTTTATTTAGCACAAAGTCCATTTAGACTACAGAACAGGAAGATTCTTTTTTTTTTTTTTTTTTTTGAGACAGAGCCTCAAGCTGTCCCCCTGGGTAGAGTGCCATGGCATTACAGC